GCAGCACCTATGGTAGAGATGGGAGAAAGAGCAAGCAGCCTGGTGTTCGAATCTGGTTGCTAGGATACTATGGAGACCCTCCACTGCTAGGCAGACAGGAAAGAAAAAATGTGTCCATATGCCTTATAACCTACAAACAGCAACAATAGGAACATCGTCTGCCCTCTTCTACCCTTTCCCATTAGGAATCCAAACCCAACTCTTCAGTGAAATAACAAGCAGCAGGAGCTTGGAAATGTGGCTCAGTAGAGCAAGGAAGTTGGTCATTTATATTCTCAGGCAGTCTCTGGAGCTCCTCTATTGAAGGGCTTATCAGTATTTTCATTAGAAGCCGCATTTTAGGGGCAAACAACTATGCTTCAAAACACCCTCATAGGGTTTTAGCAGCCTGGCCTTATTCTTATAAAGGCTGCCACAGCTTCAATTTTACTGCATAGACCATGATGTCAAATTAACAATCAAACTTAAATTGGATAGTCTATTGGAATAATGTTAAGTTGGAACTGAACTCCTCCACAAGAACAAGAAAGATGAATTTCAAAAATCGACTTCAGGTTCAATTCTCATGTAGGTCCGGTTCGCCTGGGTACGTGAGGAATCTGCCGTGCTAGTCTGTGGCACAAAATTAGATTGTTTCCAGTGGGAACGTTTAGAAGTGAGTGGAAAGAGGAGCTTGCTTTCTTTAAGAGTGGAACTCGGTTTCTTTAAGAGTTTTAATCATCTGCTGCTTGGTTAAATTAAATATTCTTACCTAGTCAGGAGAGTTATAGTTATTATCAGGACTGTGCTGGTGGGAGATGGTGGACTGGAGTGACATCTGAGATTCGGAGCTTTATTAACAGGTAGCAATTAGTCCTTGGTGTAAAGTGTACGCTTGTGCCCACACACCTGCGTGCATGCACACGCGTGCGCGCACACACACACACACACACACACACACACACACACACCCCTCAATTATTCTAACAACAAGCGCAAGTGCCCTCTCACCTACTCATCCTGATTCTCTCTGGCCTAAACTTGCTTTTCCTCAATTTCCACCACGGTATTCTGTTACTGCCACTAGCTGCTGTCGTTCCCCAGATGTACCCTCTACTTTCTTTTGCTGTCTTACCCCACCCCTCTTATCCCATCACCACTCACCTAAATCATGGCCATCGATCAAATACTTACTTTAAATACCTCTACTTCCACAAGAGTTTCTGTTACCATAAAGTTAAACGGGCTCAATTATATTTTGCCACCTGTCTTAGGTATCTCCTCTGTGGCTTACCTTACTCTACTTTCTAGAATATTTACTTGTGCAGTATTGTTAACCCCTGGTTAACTCCTTCACAGGACTTACACAATTCTCGTCTCTAATGCATGACACTAACTTGCACATGGTGCATCCCATAAAAGTACTGAACTGAGCTATAGGGCATATTTGAAATTTAACTGCTACCTATGAAGAAATCTATGTTTTAATATCATGCCATCTATGATTACACTAAAATCCTAGAATTCTCCCAACTTCCTACAGAATTTAACAGACAGCCTTTAGGAAGATTCTATTTCTCCTGAAATGCACTAATGTCAAGGTTTAACCAAAAATCAGATAAGATCTTGTTAAAATTAATGCCTCCCTCAAAATAAGAACATATATTTCTTTCTATCCTCAGCTCTCCAAAGTACTTTACAATCAAAAGGCGTAACATTACAACTCAAAATATGTCATCATTCTTTGAAATTCAGTTTTCTCTAGGGTGAAAAGCAACAGCTTAACAAAAACACAGAGACACTAACAACTTTTGATAGGAACTCAAGTCTTTATAGACCAACTGAAAAAAACACAGAGCCCTAGGACAGCAAAATGGAAAGGATTTGAGAATATTTACAATAGGTAAAGGGTTTAGATCAACATACCAGTGACAGAATGTTCTAATCTATTACAGAGTCAATTTTCAGGAATAAAATAGCATGAAATAAAATTACTTTAAGAATCCATAAGAACCACTCTCTATATATAATCAATAGGCTGATCTCATAAAATGAATATTTTATATAGTTTTCATTTTTAAGGGTTTATTTGCTTAATTTAATTCAAAACATAGTCTAACAGTTTTACCTTCTCAAATAGATATTTGGTAGCAGTAGAATATAGATTCCAATTTGCTAATCAGTTCTTTGCTCTTCAAATGACAACAGAAAAAAGGGCTTAAGGGTTATTCCTAGACACATGTGAAAGAGACAAACCAAAACAACCCCCCTGCCTCACAGGTGCAGCAGGAGTGCCCCAGCTCTGTGCTAGAATCTGACACAGCCTTCCCTCCAATTCCAGCTTACAGGGAAATTCCAAATCAAATACATTACGTTAATTTATATTTTACACTTTTTCAAATGGTCAAAAAATCACTAAAAAAATAAGTTTTTAAAGATTCTAATCCTCAGAAGATAACCTCGGAAAGCAAAAAGTAAACAAACATATTTGCACACATAGATAATTGAACAGGACATTCCCTGGGTAGTCACCTATATCCAACAGAAAGAGAATAGAAAACTACATAACCATGAATTTGAAATCAATTTTGGACTATTTAGATGGTTTCATGTTAACTCAAACTCCCAATAATCTGTAAGTTTAAGAATGATGACCAAATTTAACTTGTACTAAAAATAAAATATAAAGATATAAAGACTTGTTGCCAGTAAGTTGGTATAATCAAATTATTTATAGTGAAATAAACAGAAATTCAAACACGTCTCCTTCACTTTGGCAAGAATTCCTAATTCTTTGTGGAACCATCTTGCACAATCATTCAAATGACATAAGAATAATCGTTTTGCATACAATATACTTCTCTTTCTCTTACCAAAGGTACTCTACACTTAAGCAAATTTTATTCTAGTTTTCTTTATGTAAGTGTGAAAAAAGAACAGATGTTTTTCCAAAATTACTTAAGCTTGGAAGACATTCATTCTATCGTTTTCTTCAGTATAATCCTTCAGAATCACCAAAACCATCACGGTGATACCTTAATAGTTGACTTCCTTAAAGCACAAGTTATTAAATAAATATCAGAACGCACAGTATGGTTCAACAGGTAAAATGTTTATTATGACAGAATGTTGTGAATTATTCGCCACACTAATTTCATCTTCCACCATGGGTTTTTTTTTTTAATCTAGTTGCTCTACATGTCAAGCACTAAGAGATTTCTAAAACTTACCACATTATACAGCTCAGTCCCTAGTGCCTAGATTCCTTTAGATCTTGTCTGATAGAATGTTTCACCGGAGTTATCAGCTGGCTTGATCATGCTTCCAATAAAACCTATTAAAATCGTCTTTATATAAAAGCAGAGTTTGCTCTGAGTTACTCCAAATTCCTGCAGATACTAAAATGGGATCCTATGGAATGTTGAAAGATGCAGAGAGCTGTCTTTGACTCATTTTTTTCATTATGCAAAACTTGGCCCTGGAGAGATGGCCATGTACCTCATTAGCTAAAACAGGCAAGCATGTCAGGACTGCAAATTAACTTACCCGGGAAAGCTGAAGTGGATTCAGATCATTCAGGTTTCGAAAGCAGATCTAAATCTACTGAACTGAACTATTAGGGCAACGCTGTGAGGTTAGAATCTCAGAAATGTTTATCCTTATTGTCTCTTCCCCACACTTACAGAATACAAACTTCTCCTTAAACTAAACCTGCATGAGGAACAGCAAATGCTCTACTGCAACCAACAAGAATAGTTACACGTCTAAGTTTTCAAAAGTATCATTAGTACCTACTCACAAGCCACCCCCACACACACACATCCAATAAATACAAATGGAGACAATAAAATACTGTTTCTCCTTATATTAAATCTTTGTGTTTATAAAGTGAAAGGTTCCCAGGGACCTCATAGTATTATGTAACACGTGTCATCCAGCCAACGTGATGCTGTTAGGAAGAGTATCAAAACCCTTCGTTTTATCAATTATGTCATTATCTATTAACTTAAAATACCATTCATCTGGGTGCTCATTCTATATTAACTTCATGCTCCTGCCACTTTACTCTCCTTAAGAACTCTGAGTTGAGTGGCGTATAACAAGCTTCATTCAATTTTCCCACTTCCCAAGTTGTGAAGCCCACTGACATCAGAACTACACAGTTGTCTAAAATGCTAGAACAATACCAGAGTAGTTGCTTCAGAAGCCAGGAGTAAGGCAAACAATGTGCACACACTGTCAATAAAGATAAGTGTACTTCTCTGTATCTGACCCTAGAAACATGCAACCCTCTTGGGAGACAGAGGCACCCCATTAGCAACATTATATAAATTCCTTAAGGAAAATAAGCAATATTCTCCCTCAGATGTTATTAAAAAATATATTTTTAAAAAATCAACAGACTAGGCTTCCACTTGTGGATTGTAAATGTCGAATTCTGGAAATCAAAAAATCTTCCCTTTTATATGTGTATTTGCTTATTTTTGACACTTTGATGATGCCAGAACATCTGCTTTGAACGGTACCAGCGAGAAACGCCGGCATGTAGAGAAATCCGGGAGCGCCACAAAAGCATAGAAAGTAAGGGTGATGGCATTTCATTTCAAGTCTGATGAGCCTGCAGTTAGGATTTTCCGGCTGGGCAGGTTTGCCAGGGCATTTGGGAGACGGGGCTTTGCTATTCCTCTTCTCACACTCACACATACACAGCACAATGCACACCGGGGGCGCATTCAAACTCTACGTACAGTAGGTGGCCTATAAGAACGTATATGTTTATTAAAAAAAGAAAGGAAGAATAGCTTGACATCTGACAAAGACACGAAGGCAACGTAAGTGCAGTGAGTCTGACTCTCAGAAATGTGCACAGCCCCGCAAGAAGTGCCCGTTAAAATGAAACATTTCTGAGGATGAGGACAAACACGGCAAGCGGGAGGGGCGGGGGCCGACAGACAATACAGAGACCCGCAGCTCCCCACCGACAGGGTGCCACACGGACCCGGAGCGTAACCCCTGCTTACTGTGGACTCTTGGGGTAGAAGGGCAGAGTCACATGGCTGAGATCCTGGATGTCGAAAGCGGTGGGCTCAGCGGAGATCGCCTGCCGCTTGGTGCGCGGCTCGCCTTGCAAGGTGCTCGCGCTCTGCTTCTGCGCCTGCTGGGTAGCCGGCCGGATCACCGAGCGGTACTTGTCCAGCTCGTTCTGCAGCTTCTGGATCAGTTCGTCCTTCTGATCCAACTCCAGCTCCAGCTCGTCGATGAGAGCGTCCCGCTGCCTCAGCTCCTCGATCTTCTCCTGGAGCGCGTACTGTAAATCCCGCAGGGTGCCCATGCTCCTCGGGGCTGCCGGGGGCTCCTTCCTGCCGCTGCTCCGCGTCTTGGGGCGTCCTCCCCTCTCCGAACAACTTTCCCCAAAGTCGTTGCTGCCTCCCGAGTGCGAAAGCTTCCTACTTGAGACCAAAGCCAGCCCTGGCTTCTGAGCATGCCCAGTCTCCCGGCTCCAGCCACCGAGAGTTTCAGGGCAGATTCCACTTCTCCGGGCTGTGAGGCTGAGCGCGGCGATGAGCCAAAAGGCGGGTCGAACCGGGATTCAACCTGAACCGCGGTGGGCGCCGCGGCGCCAGGGAGAAGAGCCGGGAGCGCGATGGCAGGGGAGCGGGAGAAGGGACTCGGATGGGGGCTCCGAGGCCGCGGCGGGCGTGCCCGGGTCACTCACGCAGGGCGCCGGAGGAAGCCGGTGGAGCGTGTGGGGAGCCCGATAAACCTCTGAGCGCGCCGAGGGCTGCGCGGGCGGAGCGAGGCGGGAGCACTACTTTGGGGGCGGGGAGGCGGGCGGGAGAGGACCGGGAAGACCCCGCGCAAACTCGGGAAGCGTTAGCCGGCTCCAGAGCATACCAGGCTGGAGGACGTGGGGCTACGATCCTGGCGACGAGGGAGGGCAGAGCGGGCTCTGCATCCTCAGCGCGCTGAGTTCTGCAGGTGTCTGGACCGCCAGCCTCACCAAGAAAGGCTCCCCAGCCTGTGGCTGAGCTCTCGCGTCTTCCACGCAGCCTTTCTCACAGGGAGCGCCTCACACAGGTGGCTAACGCTTGAAAACAAACTTGCCTTTCAGGAAAGGAGAGCGCATCCGTGCAGGGGAGGGACTTCCACTCACATCCAGGCGCCTTTGGGGATGCGGGAGGGAGCTTCTGATTTTTTTTCTCCCCCGTCAGCATTGCCAGCTCCTGCGAATGACTCCCCTTTCCGCTCCTTTCAAACACGGATTAATGAACTCTTTTGGGGGCAAGGGTCGAAACGGGATTGGGCCCCAGAGGGCTGCTCAGCTTCCCCACTGCCCCTCCCACTTAAACCAGTGTCTGCGGAATAGTTTATGGAAGGGTCTTGCTCCTTCCCTGTGCTGAATTCTGGGCGGGGAGCGCAGGGCGGGTCAAAATCGTTGCAGAGTTCCAAAAAGTTCATCCTGAAATGGAACCATATCTTTGAAATTACTTCCTTGACAACCAAGCCGTTAGGGATGTATCCTTCCACTTGAATGGCAAGACACAAACTTCGAAGAAGAGGGAAAATCTTAAAGAAAAGGAGGATCCTAGACGGGTTGTGATAAAGTGCCGCCCCCCTCCACCTACTCCCACCTCCGACCCCATCCCTGCCTGTTCAATATTTCCTAAAATGATGACAATTTAGGTAGCATCCTTTCTGTCCAAGGGTAATTCTCCCATCGTGTTTAGAATCCTCCATAATACTTACTTAAATTCCTCATATTTACCTAAATCTTCACCAAATCATTTAAAATGTTAGCATCTTAACTGCAGTCCTCTAATTACTGTTCTTGAGAACTCAGTGTTATAATCCTCGATGCTCTATTTGGCCATTCCTTAACACCAAATAAAACAAAGTAGGTAGAAAATAAATTAAAATTCTGAATTGCAATCCAGAACTATTCACTGGAATCTAAATTTAGCCAAGGACATATATATCAGTCCCCCCCCCCAAAAAAGTGCTCACTTTTGCTATTGAATACACAGCCTGTTCTAAGTAAGAAGAAAAGAATGGGGAGGGGGAGGGGAGGAAAGAAAAGAACAGAACCAGCTAGTCAATGTCACATTTATAAGCTTTTTGATTTAAAGTGTACTTGTTTGTAACTAGAAGTATAAATGAAAAAGGATATATAGTCCTAAACATTCTTCTACCCAGATGATGATTTGATTCTCTCAGTACAAATGATATAAGAAACTTAATTTTTCTGCTTTCCAACATGGATATTTTCAGAAGTGCATTTCTTTCAGAATGTAATATATAAAGTGGATAATTCCCCAAAATAAACATGAATAACTTTCAGATACTGATAGCAGCAAGCAGGAGTTCTGAATTATTGTTGTTTTAATTAAAACTAAACCAAGCAGAAGTGCTCTGGCTTTGTATAACTGACTCCATTCTAAAAGAGCTTCCGTGACATTTTCCTTCTCCCAGGAAAAAGGCCAAATTCTTATCTTATTTAACCCATGGGAATTCTTTAATTCCATGGCAAAATGTCTCAAACTAAATGAGACTCTTTTTTTCCCTATAGATCTATTATAGGGTCCAGGAGCCCAAGAGTTTATGTCTAAAAATATATCAGGAGCAATGTATAGGGGACATCATTAGACAACTGCTAAGCAGAGTTATGTTTTAAGGTTCATTTGAGGCTTAAATGGGGTTTACTTGATGTCTTTGAGCAGCACAAAGTAGAGAAGATTCTTCTTCATTTGTAGAAAGCTTGTCTACATGTAAAAAGGATACAAGAAACTAAAGCATTTTCCCCCCAAAATAAAAAATAGCAGTTCAACCCAAAATAAAGTCACGTTTTTTTTTAACAAAAGTGAAGTTTCTTCCACTGTTATGTAAATATTTTTCATTATATAAGCTATCATATCTACATGCCACTATAGGATATATCCATGTTACATTTTCATTTTAAATGGAATTCTTGTGATACAAAATATATTCCTTGATGAATCCCATAGTGAGAGTTAGGAATCTGTTGTAATAAATGCAAAGAAACTAAACAGCTGGGAAGATATGACTATTACAATTGACTTACACTTTAAAAGGTATTTAAGGTGTAAGAACATATTTGGTTGTATTAGCCTATACAATGAAAAAGTAAAATTGCCCTTAAATACTTTATAATTGTATATGCAAAATCCAGAATTCTAGGCTTTTCCCTTCCATTTTTAAAGTCAAAATAAATATTTTAAGTAAGTTTTTCAATGATATTCTTGACTGTTTAAATCCTGAGGGACCCTGGTTTTCTATCTCAGCCTTTTGAGTGATTCCAATATTTTCCTAAATATCTTTTGCATTGTATTTGGTAAATGCTGGAAATAAATTTTACATAAATAATCAAGGTTTTGTAGTTTCATTTTCAACAGACAGATTTTACTATATGTCTTATAGTAAACTCAATTGGCTAAGTTATAATATCACAGATCAGGCACAAGTCTACTTCCTGCTATTAGGCTACCACAAATTTGGAATGGAGTGGAACTTGCATATACTGAGGTCTCCCACTTGCCTTTCTGGGATGAAGTCTTGATGTTAGATGCTGAAGCACAGAACAATGCAATTTTGAAGGAGCTTAATTTATACACTAGAATTCCACAGTCAACTCACAACCTACTTTCAGCAGTCTCTCTTTGTTGTAGCTCTAATGGAAGCAAAGTTCCACCAGTAGCCAGACCCTCCTGGGGCATATTGATGCTCTTCAATTTTGCATGCAACCCTCATGACTGAGAATAAATATTATCACACCTTCCTTAATGGAATCTCAGAATCACTTAATAAGACATTCAGTAATTCAGCTTTATCATAATACTGGCCATTTAAAAAAATAAAGTCTTTAGAATTTATTATCCTACACTAAAAACATAATTAGCCTCAAAAGAACTCTGATAATTTCATCATCCAGCTGCCCATTCCACTGGTGCTACATTTCCTGCAGGAGTCCTAAGTTTGCAATTTTCTTCCGCCATTTCATGTACACGTCTTGAACAGCAAAAACCAAAACCAGAAACAAACAAAACATAGATGAGCTATGTTTTGGGTCATGGAAGCCTCCCCTTGCAGAAAATTGCTAGAAGTAACAAGTAACCCTAAGAATCTAGATATGAAGGTTACTACTACTGGTAAACATACTGGCTTGCTCAAAACTGTTCTTCATCAAGACCACAAGAAAAAAAACTCACTTCCTGGAGCTCTTAATGCATGACGGGCACTGTTCAGGTAACCCTACGAGTTGGACATTATTATTATTTCCATTTATATTTGACAAAAGGGAGGCAGAGGATCTCCCACCCAATGAATATCAAAGCCTGGATTCAAATAAAGACCATTTGATGCAGAGCTCAGTCCCATACCCCTGCCCCTCACTGCCTTCTGCAGGACTTCCAAGGGTTGCTAATGCCTTGTTCTGGATCCCGAGATATAAGACATTACTTAACATTAACTAGCCTGACTTTGGGGTTGGGTATGTGGAAAGAGGAGAAATTTGGAAAATCCTAAAAGAGCAGGGAAAGATTTTTTAAAAGTTCCTTTTCCCAAAACTGTCTCCACTTCAGCCCCATTTCATCTTGATTTAGGGTTACCAACTTGCACCCATTTGCCTGGGACTGTCCTGGTTTTCATATTAAAACTGCTTGGGACTGTCCTAGTGTTTAAACTGAAGTCCTAAGTACCCCTTGGTCCTGGGCAAACCAGGATGGTTGGTCACCCTATATAATTCAGGATTGCAGAACAGAACCTCTCTATTTTATATTTTCACATTTTGTGTTCAAAGTTACTGACAGAAAAGTAAAACCAAGGAAGATCTGTAATAATAATACCTATTATTTTAAGCACATTACAAACCCACTTATGCATTTGTTTGTGTGAATGTGTTTTAGGAAAGCAATCATCCCATTTCAATGCATAATACACCACAGGAATTGTCTTTGGACTGTAAGGAGAGATGAGTCAGACAATAGAATTTTCATTATACTTTGATAAATTAGACAAGGATTCAAGGCTCCCTTTTTGGTTTATCTTTCTTATAAAAATCTAGAATTTAGACAGATTGGCTTCCTATACATTAAGCACAACAATTCAAGCTCCTGCTATTTGATTAAGTCCTATAAAATTAGATTATTCTTACTACTGTGTTGGTGGCTAGATTTGGCCACCAGGAATGTATATTTAAATGAATATAAGTAAAAATTCTAATGGTTGAGTTGTTTAGAAGTCATACTACTGAAATGATAAGTTCTGGATGGAAAAGGAAAAAGAAAACCATAAAACATTAATGATGAAAAACTTACTGCAGAGACTTGGAAAGTAATAGTGCATTGTACCATACTTGCTAATGTGCTTAGAGTTTTATACCGAATTAGTGTCACAGTTAATATTACTTGAAACGAATTCTTATATTCCACTGCTTAAGATGATGGTAAGTTATTATTGGACCCCAGCCTAAA